GAATCAGCGTTGAGTCCCTCAGAGAATCCAATGATTTGTTTACCTTCGCATTAATAAACTCTTTCAGTTGTTTACTCAATTCAACCACACTCCCATATTCTTACAGGGAAAGAATTACTTACTTAACTTAAAATTCTGTTTCCTTGACAAATTCAAAAAAACTAAGCCAGTTCGAGCCGGTTCCAGGGTATTTGGTTTTTTTGTTCTAACCATGGAGCGAAGAGCGACTGTGTCGAAGTGCGTAGGAGGCCAAACTATCATTCACGACGTATGAGGATCAGTTTCCAGGCATGACTCGGCTAAGGCCAACCAGACTTTCGCTCCTTTCAGACAGGTTAGCCAAAATTTGTCTAAAAGTACAAGATCTGGGCTTGTGTGTTGGTTGCACCTGCGAGGCCAGGCTAAATACGTCTTCCTGAGGCGACGCGATTCTTAGGGTGGATGCATGGCGTACACCAAAACGAAGTTGATTAATGCCATAGAATTTACATTGCAAATTTTGAGCTAGCTATTCTACTTTACTGAATTTTCGTTCCTCCACAATTAAAACAGGAGCAGCACACTTTTCCAACGAACATTTGATCGAATCATAACTATTAAAGGAATTTGATTTTAAAAAAGTAAAAATAGTTAAAATTACGTAATACCGATGCGTTCAAAAAGAAATTGAGGAAGCTAGATCTCATGCTTTGTTAGGCATACAAGATTTCTAGACGTGTATAGCCTAAAGAAAATCCATTTATGGGTATCTTTCTTTCTTGATGTGCGTTTTTATGACTTTTTCTGCTGTTTCGATTTCTAACTATTTTCTTTTTATTGCTTACTCCTGAAGCGCACCTTAGTGTGTATTTCAAATAAATAAATAAATAAATAAAATAATATGAGTGCGGCCTATATACTGGAATATCGGCCTAATGTTGCTTCAAAACAATGGCAGAACTACGTGCCACAGTGAACATTAAGTTGAGATTTGAGACGAGCAAAACAATCTTCCGCGAAGGTGGGAGAAGGGAAGTTATGGCCCTTTGGGAATAGATTTTCGGGTAATAACTGGTTCTAAACCTGAAATTTGACTCCCTGAGTTTTTGCCGTTTCAGTTCATAGTTCTGAACAACATGATCCACATATTTTCTATAAAAAAGTGGCTGTGATCTGCATATTTTCCAAGAGCTCCCTATAGAAGTAGTAGAAGTAGAATTAGAAGTAGCGCATGCGAATTCCACACCAGCAGTATTTCGGCCTTCTGGTAATTTCGAATCGAGAGGGTTCCTAGCCAGCCGTACCATTATCAGATTGCCCCACGCATCGAATGGAATAGCCCGTGGTTGGGATATTTATGCATCCCATCCCAGGGGAGTTATTCCGTAATCGGCAAGCGTGGTGTGGTCGAACAGCTTATTCCTTTACTACAGAAATTGGCCGCCCAGGGTGCCTAGACGAGATTACTTTGGGGGCCAAGTCCAAAATCGACTACTTCAACACAAATATAAAAATAGCCCAGAATCAGGATATAGGGAAATGTTAGCCAACATCAGTGAGTTACAATGGAATTATTCGGCCAAACAAACTAGTTCGATGGCAAATATTCATTTTATGATTCCGGGCCTGGTCTAAAGATGAAATTTGAGCTCCTACCCGCAAAGAGTGAAGTTGCTATGAGCAAAGCGTGGGAGAAACTGGTTGTTGGGAGAATACGTGCTGCGATGAATGTGTTCCCCAGGTGGTTTGTGGTTGGCTTCGGAAAATAGAACGATCTCACTTAATTCGGCTTTTGTACAGAATGTTCTACTGTGTATGTGTTATAGCAATAAAAGTACTCAATTTTCCGGAAGGCTACTAAGAAATCATCTCTAAAGGGATAAAAGGGTGAGAAATTGTCATCTGGGCAATCTATCTTTGATTGTGGCTTTGTGTACCTGAAGCCAGTCGGGAGGGCACTGCCGGAGATTGCGAAATTCGTCATGTACAGAATCCAGCTTATGCCATGTATGCCCCAAAGTATAAGCTTCTGGGAGGGTGGAGGATGTGGTTTTGGAAGAGGTGGCGATTTCACGTTTTCCAGGACGATAGTCTTTGCTAGCCTTAGCAAAGTAAGAAGAACTTCGAGGAAATGTGCGAACTGGGGGAAGGGAGGTGGGGTAATCGCAAAGGTTGTAATCGCAAAGGTTGTTTTTAAACCCAAACTCAGAACTCAGGGATGATGAGGAGATGGTTATGACACCCAGGTTAGTGAAGAGATGTTGGCAGGAAGTTTTCCTCAGTGCCACGCCAGCTGTGGTCATATATTTCTGTTAAGTTGAACAGGATGCTTTGAAGTAACGAGTAACCTACAGAAGGGACTGTCTGTTGAGGAAAAAGGGAGGAAAAGGAAATTTCTATTTCACAAAAAAAAAAAATAAAATTTATATCTGTCCTGAGGGAGAGGCTGTCTTCCTTTGTTCTGAGCTGTCCTCCCTCTGTCAGCAGAGTGCACATGTGTCCACAATCAGACCGAAGGATGTGCCTTATTCGAAGGAGCAGTGACTATTGACATGTGGATGAATCACAGGAAAAATGGATATTGATCGCTTACATCAGGCAGAAAGAGCGCCAAATCCGAATCCAGCAATCTAATTTTAGGTGCTCTGACTGGCGGTTCAGAGCGTACTAGTGAGGAAGGAAGATTTGCATTCAATCCCGTATCTCGTGGTAAGACGACACCAGTTTCGAAAGTAAGGCTTGGCTTCATGGGGAACAACTAAGAAAAAGGAAGGACTGGTTCTTCGAGCGAAGATCGTTGAGCGATCTATTTTCCGGCTTTTCCTTTTTTCTATCTTTCCTGTTCTTCTAAACACTGTGCACCACTCAGCCCAACTGGGTCATGACTCAGTCAGCTTCAAGTCCGTGCTTGAGGCTCTATTTAGGTCCTCACTGATCTCAACTCTCAAGTGTGGCGATTGAGAGATTTATATTCATAGATTCATCACACAAAATAAATTTCGTGAAATACTTTTACAACAACATAAAGAGGTATATTTTCTGCATATACAGATTGCATCAAAACAAAATCTATACAAAAAGCACGGTGACGATAAATAGAACTATGTAGCTGACCACAAGAAGCCAATTGAATACCTAAATAATACTTGTTGGTAATGGAATTCAATGTAGTAAAATAGATCACCAAACTTGCAAAAAGTAAGAGTTATCAAGTAGGTGTCAAGTAGAGCTGAGTGCTAAGTTAGGGAGTAACCATTTAGCAGCCACCCCTGCTAAGTAGACAGGTGGCTTGTAAAGCTCATAAACTTGTTGGTTTCTCCTGTTAGTGAACAATCCACGGATCCTCATCCTGTCCATTCAGCCGCGTTTCCAGCTTCACCCATTACCCATTACTCATAATGGGAACGTTGTTCCATTCGCTTCAGTAGGGTGGGGCAGAAGGGTGATGAGGTAGGGGGGTCTCTTTTAGGACACAGTTTCAACGGGCCTCAGACCGTTCTCTCCACTTCGCGAAGACGTGACAGGAGCAACTTCGAACTGCCCTAACTAAGCTGAGCGATATGGCTATAGCACCGCTATGTCCTTGGTAAATGATGAAGTACTATATTATTAACATTGAAAAATTATATAAATAAGGATGGGATAAGGTTGGGGGGGGGGCAAGTAGAAGGGAATTTTCGAAGGAAGAAAATGTCGTCGATGGGGG